ACACACAACACGTTAAAATACGTTAACAAACTATCACTGATGTTGCTGCGATAGCCTATTCAAAGCAGAACCCAGAGTTTGTGGGTAAAAAATGGAGCACATTAAATGGTTGATGTCATTTCACTTTTCAGGATTCTCTACGGAGAAAATTCGTTTGATTAGGGGGATGTCTAGGCAACAGTTTCCTTAAATTCTCAATGCTGGAAAAACTTTGTTGCAACATGTTAGCTCGAATTGAAGCAGATCGTTTAGCATTCAGTTAAGACTGAGAGCAGAAATAATGTAGGTGAACCTTGACGAAACAAATAGAGATATTTAAAATTAGTTTTCTAACAAGTGTTTAAACAACTCTAAGATGTAACTAGAATTACTCGAATTTAAGCATAACGTTTTCCTCGGCGTTATGTTTCATACTATGCGGCTCATTGAGCCGTGCGGGTTCTCTAGTTTAATAAATAATTTTCAATTCTGAATTTAAGAACATGTGACTTAAGTTCACTGACCAACTAGCACATGAAATAGACAGACCAACTATAACACAGGATTGTGCAAACTATGTATGTACCAGAAAAGTGAGAAACGGCAGATTGGCAATACTAAACTATCTCTTAAAGACAATACAAAACCTTTACTTACATACACAGGTCAACACATTTAACTCTAATACTGACGAAGATTCACACACGGACGACATTTAAAACTGACTTGGAGCATTGTCTGACCGAGCGAAATTTTCACGACAACGGTCTTTTCACTGTGTAGGACTTATCAATTCTTTGTTTTTCGAGCTGGCGTAATTTTGAATCAATTGAAAGACTGTCACAACATTTACAAATCGATAAGAAATAGACATTTGCGATCAGTTCGATGCATGTACAAATTTCCTCACGAATGCAACATCAATCCGACAATTTCGAATGACTCGACATAAAACTAAAACACACCCCCAATTAGCAATTCAGAGAAATTTTGAAATTAGCTGTCATTTTGACGCACGTACAAGTTTCAGCCGAACGTGAATTTCTGAGCTACGAATGAGATATTGTTAGAATTGTCCTACACCGGGGACACACTACTTTCGAAGTTGACGCCGCTGCTCCAAGTGAAGTTCGCGCATGCACCAGTTTTAGTCTTTGTCCTCTTATCAATCCGCGTTACGTCATAGTTGGTTAGAGTTGTCCCTTGCCTTGGCGCGGATTTTAAACCTTGGGATCAGCACAGTATGAAAAATACTTCTACTTACCCTCTATTTCAAAATCTACCCTGTTCCAAGGGTTGCTTCGCCTCTGGGGGTGGGTGCCACCTCTTCTTGGAGGTGAGACGTTGTTGTTAATTTAAAATAAGTGCAGGAATCGATGAATTGTCTAAGAAACTTCAGTTGTATTTGTTTGACTTTTTATATCCAAGTTTATTGACTTTTTTTAACGGTTTTTGAAGTTTTTAATAGTTGAACAATATTCAAATACCAGTATCCTCTCCAACTCCCAGAAAAACAATTCTACTACTTGATGCCTAATAGAATCATTATTATAACTGTAGTATCAAAAATATTTTATGTATTTTGCGACCATTGCAAATGTCAACTACTCTTTTACCACTTGAAAACTCATATTATCAACAATCACAGATAGCTCACAGATAAGGTAAGGGGCTCATAAGTCGAAGGTATCAGGTTCGAGACCCATCTGGGCAAAAAATGTTCTAGTTTATTTTCAAAATTTGTTTTTATGAACTATTTAATCAATTTACTCAACTAATAATTGTGCTTTTCATACTAAATCTTTATTATTTTGTGTTATTATGTTTAAGCTCCATGGCATGGTAGGCCCTTTGTTAAAAATTGGTTGGTTGGCCAACCGTAAGACCGTAAGACTTAGTGCCAAAACATACCGATGGCCAACAATCGACAGAAACAAAGGGCCAACAATTTTTGCTTCTTGGGTAAGGTGGAATAAACTTGAATCAGTTCGCTATCCAGCATGATTGGAACTGGGTTTAACAGGGGGTTTTATGGGGTATGAGGGTTTAATGGGGTAAAAATAGATTTTTCCCATTTTTGATCCTAAAAACTTAAAATTTCATAATTTCTCTCTAGAGACCATTTAGAAGAGCTATTTAAGTGTTTTTGTCAGTGTAAGCGTCATTGATTACGGAGAAAATTAAAAAAAATGTTAATTTAAAATTCCCATGTTATTCTTATGGAGAATAAATAAACTGTTGTAGTTTGCTTCTTTATGGATATATTATATTCTAATCAAATTTGGCAATTTTGTTTATTTGATACTAAGCTATCAATATTTCAATAAAAAACACACCTGAATATCTTCCCCGTAGCAGCAAACCTAACTACACACTAAAATTAATGTTATTTAAATAGGAAATAAATCTGACAAATTTTAGGGAATATTTTACAGAAAGTAAATAAAAAAGACGCCTTATAACAATTAAAACATATATTTACGCTTATACTGTTACCCACAAGATGGTAAATATACAAAAAAGATGGTAAGTGGTGATCGATTTCGATTGGACACTCCAATCATCATCAATTCGCCTATTGGGTCTGATGAAGATCAAAAATATATGATCATTAAAAATATATGATAAAAAATCTAGTATTTTACTACGTATATTAAATAATCTTTCATCCTCTTACCGAATAAATGAGCATATCAATAATTATAGCATTACACATAGTATAAATAAGTCAACCCTACTGATGTAATTTCATTATTTTTTTATCCGAATGCTTAATTTATGACACAAAATGCTGAATGTTTACAGCTGTTAGTTAAGCAAATTCTAATATACCAAAAGCTAATCTAGAATAGAAAGTTAGCAACAGCTGCTAGACTTTAAAAAAATTAAAACTTAATATCTAAATACCCCCGCCGCAGCAAACCTGCAGACTAAGCGAATTTCCATTTGCCTGATTGGATTTACACTAAAATGTCTCCTTAAAAATATCAACATTTATTTCCTATTTAAATAGAATCAGTTTAACACATACTTAGGTTTGCTGCAACAGGGAGGGTAAAAGTGTTTTTTATGTAAAATGTTAATAGTTAGTAAGAAATAAAAACATTTTCCAAATTTGGGCAAAAAATGTTAATAAACAAGCAAACTACAACAGTTTACATATTCTCCATAAGAATAACATGGGAATTTTAAATTTACAATTTTTTTGAATTTTCTCCGTAACCATTAGGTGCATTATAACGCTTCAATATACTAAATTATTTGTTTTCTTAAGTTCTACAAAATAGTTTGGAAATAAATTGCAAAATTTTATGTTTTTTGAGTCAAAAGTGGGAAGACCCCATTTTTACCCCATAAAACCCCCCATAAACCCCCGTTCCCATCGTCCGATCATGCTGGTTCGCGAACTCGTTCGAATAAACGTAGGTTTACACGTTTGTACCAAATTTCATCAAAATCGGATCGTTTTTGCTCAAGTTATCGCGCTAACGGACACATATATAAATATATATATATATATACTAGCTGACCCGGCGAACTTCGTATCGCCTAAGTTATAGGTTTCCCCTAAGACAGACCGATGGAAAGAAAGTACCGTTACGTTTAATTTTCAAGATGATCTCGTTCGCATGGCTCAATCACGTCCTGGTTGAAGTTCGTTCGCTACGCTCACTCACCTTTGGGTTGGAGCTCGTTCGCTACGCTCACTCACCTTTAGGTTGGAGCTCGTTCGCTGCGCTCACTTGCCTTCAGGTTAGCTCGTTCGCTACACTAACTCGCCTCCAGGTTGAAGTTCGTTCGCTACGCTCACTCACCTTTTGGTTGCAAATTAGCTGTTGTCATAAATGTAAAAGAAATAATAGTGCTGCACCCTGTTGGTAATCCTTGTAACTTTAATGCTATTGAACATCATAGAACAGAACCAACTTGTTTAATTGAAACAGCTGTTAAGATTCATTAATTCCATTTCTCATAAGGTTAACATGGGAAACTCCAGAGCCACTGGGGCGGAGCCCTTTTAAGAATTTCGAAACGGGAAATAGTTTACGTCCGATTCGCATACCTACAGAATTTACACACCAAATTTCATAACGATCGGTGAAGTCGTTCCGGAGGAGTTTGCAGACAAACACTGTGACACGAGAATTTGATATATTAGATATATATATATATATATATATATATATATATATATATATATGTATATATGAATTTGAACGAATGGTGTTTTTGGCCTCTAGGGACCTCAAAACGAAAAAGTCCAGGTCTTACCATTAGTACTAAGGTAATAGCTTATTCCCTATATGGGAAATTCGCTAAAAGCTGAAACCGTAAACTAAAATTATGGCTTCGACATTCCCTAGTTCTCAAAATTATCTTTCCTTCAACACAAAAATCATGAAAATCCTTCAAGTGGTTGATTTAGAATCGTGAAATAAAAAACCCGTCACTTTTAAATATGTATGATGATGATGATGAGTTCCCTGGGGCTCAAGGAAGTAGTCATTAAATTAGATTACCTTGGTTGTTGTAGCCTGAAGCAATGAATACACAAACTATAAAGAAGAACAGGTCCTATGGACAATATTCTAACAGTATTTTCAAATTTGGCGCGCGAAATATCTGTAGTTCTGCACTGAACCACCACTCAGCGCTGTAGTCAAGTTTAGCACGCGGTGAAGTGCGAGAGAGAGCGACATACACTGTTTTCGTCCCCTGTGGGCCAGGCCACGAGAGAAAGAGAGAGGGGGCGAAAACAGTGTATGTCGCTCTCTCTCGCACTTCACCGCGTGCTAAACTTGACTACAGCCTGAAGCTCTTGATTAGGCAAGATATTCATGAACTGACTCCAGAACCCAAGAACTATAGGCTACAACAACCTAGGTAATCTAATATATTTCAGGTTCTTGAATCTGGGATAGCAAAATATGTTAAATGATTAAGTTGTGGTTCATAAACAGATTAGATTAAATTGTGTTAAAAACATACTAGACAACTAAAAGGAAGAATGAAACAACAAATTTTAAAATATCACTTTATTTATACAAATATCCAGATCCGTTTGAAACTGTTCAAATTATAAAACTACATAAATGAAACATGCTAAAACTGACCATAGGAAAACACTTTGTTGACCAAAGAAAGATATACAAATAAATGTATAATAAACAGATGAGATTTGCTAGAAATCAAAAATAATACTGAGAATCTTTGGCGATTTCATTTCAATCAACTTAACTTGTGCTTTGAAGTAAATTATATTTGTTTAGTCTTACTTTGAGGCCAGGTGTTAATCAGTTCCAAAATATTTCTGTCCGAAGTGATTTGGACAGATGTGGTGAAGCTCAGAAGTTAAAATAACCATCTGGAAAAAACGTAAAGCCGTTATAAGAAATGGCAATGTCCGCTTGTTTTTAACTCCTGTTCATTAAAAGCCTGTCCATCTGCTGCAAATAGCATATTGGGTGAACAAATTAACTGTGCTACCATTGATTGATACCTCAGAAATGTATTTTGCCACACTACATAGTAATCAGCTTCTTTCTGTACTTTTTTTTACCAGAAAGTTTTTGTTAACAGAAAGGGACCGGTGAAGTCACCTGGAGTACGGTAAACTTACTGGTCAGTTTTACGATTGACATACTACAGTACACATTAACACGTTAACTATATTTTATACCTTTTATTGTAGTATTTGGATCAGGCTAATTGACAGGAGTACTTGCTAATAAGTATATTAAAATAACATTAAAGATAGGTTTGGTGTATTGGTATTACCATTAAAACTATTTGGTAATAAAGTATTTTTTTCCATACTAATTTGTACTATGGCCTATTTTATAGCCCTACAATTTTACACTGTTACATCTGCTACCACAATTGAGTACGTTTTTTGAATTAAGTAATTTTGTATAGGTCTATATACACAACTAGCTATGTTTTGTTAACAACTTAATAAACACCGTACTGAATTGAGTGTGACTGCAGTGTAGTATAATAATTTGTAGATTTTTTAATAGTATAGAAATTGATTTCTTAAAATAAAAAAATAGTCGGGAAATCTATGTTAAGCAGGGGAAAATTGAGGCTTCTCTCCCCCCCCCCCCCTCGGGAATTTTACCAAGCAACGCCACTCCCCCTCTTCAGCACGTGTCCACCGCAAAAATGCCAATCATGTTGGTGTGAATCACTTTAATTATACAGCGCAATCGGGTATAGAGTGTTGTGATAGTTTACTTTTACTAATCAACCTATATTTACAATAGAAGGTAGGTCTGATTGAACTTAAGAAGGGTATAGGTTTTTCCAAATTATTTAACACATTCACTACCAAGTATCAGTAAGCTGCAGTGCACGGAGTGTGACAACTGGTAGTGAACCTGTCAAGCCAATGAGGTACAGCTATTACAAGAGTTAATAAGGTAAATCAACTGCTTGAGTTTACTTTCCTCTGCTTATTAGTCAAATTTAGTGTCATTTTCTCAAATCTAACATTTTTGGTAATCAGACATCTTCTCTTCCCAAAAGTGTAGGATTAAAGACTGGCAACTGTAACTGTTCTTATGCTGACAATACAACTGTAAAATTCAATCTGTACTCTGTACCTGAGGAAAGGCTGTTGTTACTGCTTTGGCTGCAAACGGAGTGGAAAACAAGTTGGACAAGATTATGTTCTCTTCTAGGACTTGGTGTTCTTTCAACACCGCCACTGCTTTAATCACAGTGTTGCCTGTGCCTGAAATGCAGTACAAAGTAGGCTAAACTGAACTTTACAGCAAATAAACTACGGTACTTATCCCATTTTAAATTCCATATCCAATGGCATATTTAGTTTACAAATCGATCACCTTATTAGGATAGCAGTATATTTCATCACTAGGGCCTAAAGTGACTCTTTCAACATGAGTTTGAGTTTATAAACCAAGAACAGAAAATGATTGAGAATTGAAAATACACTTTCGGTCTGTGTGATGTACTTTGCATCATACTTCTCAATTCTTTAAGCTAAATTAAGTAATCGACACAACGTTAATTTTACACATGGTTTGCTTAGTAAATCAGCTGCCAAAATGCTTTCCTGGTTGTTTAGCTATAGGAACGGCTTTTATTCGAATGCACTAAGATCAGTTTTATTCTGCCAGAATAATCATTCATATACAGTACAAACTAATAGTTATTAGAATTGGTTTGTTTATTATTGTGTCATAATGTATATTTTCACTAACATGTTTACCAATTTATCAAAATTTATGAGTTACTGTAATAAGATAGTAATATACGGTGATATTTGGATCGTGAACACTTTTTTTTTAGAAAATCAGCAAATTAATTTTAAATCCATAAAAATCTACAGCTGATATCTACGACTTCGGCTGAATATTTTACTTTCCCGCACACATGGACCTAATAAAAAATACCCCCGCCGCAGCAAACCTGCCGTTTAAGCGAATTTCCATTTGCCTGAATTTATTTTTAATTAAATCTGAGTACCTAGGTTTGCTGCTACAGGGAAACTAATAAATTATGTTTTTAGTAAAATTTTAATAGATTATTATAAAATAAATAAATTTGCCAAGTTTGATCAAAATATCCATAAACAAGCAAACTACAACATTTTACAATATTCTCCATAAGAATAACATGGGAATTTTAAAATCACATTTTTTAAATTTTCTACGTAAATAATAACTGTACAAAAACACTTTGACATACTGAATTATTTGATTATTTATGTTCTTCAAAATGTCTAGAGGGAAATTGGGAAATTTTGTGTTTTGAGGGTAAAAACCCCAACTTTTACCCCGTAAAACCCCATTCCCATGGTCCAATCATGCCGGTTCGTGAACTCATTCAAATTTATCCCACCTTACATCTTTTAACAAAATTATTTCCCCTTTAGGGAAATTCGCTAAAAACTCTAAATCTACAGGAAAGAAATAAAAATTAAAGCTGTCTTTAACTGATCTATAAAATGGCAAATTATGAAAGTCTAGAGTAATCAATAGAACCAATCTTTGACACAAAATTCAAAACAAACTATTCTTTGGGATAGACTTTGCAACTAACTTGCCTTATAATGCAATATCTAATAAACTCTTTTTAAAGGAACAGAATCAAATTTTGAAATAGCTGTAGGTGAAAATGCTGTCAAAGTTTTGAAAACTTTTGTCAAGTCAAAAGCAAATCACAATAGGTACTTGGTAAAACGTACAACTCAAAAAGAAGAATTAAGTTTGTTTGTTCGCTGATGCTGTAATTGAAAGTTTGTGAGACTTACTCATAATCGGATACATCAAGAGAACTTTGCGACTAGCGATGTCCTCTGGAAACCTTGCATAGACAATCCTAGCCTCGTGAGTATCTGGGTCTGACTCCACCAGTATCTTGCCAATCCTGATGGAACGGCAGCAGTCCCGCAAACCCTGCGGCAACCATAAGTATTCATAGTCGTGTTTGTAACTAGGGGCTCTGATATTAACGAAGACTCCCTTTCGTTCAGCTTCGGTTGGATCGACTGCTGGATGGTCCGGCTAGTCTCAGGGGTATGATAAGGGTTAATCAGGGGGTTAATCAGGTGGAGCAAAAACGTATCTATAAGTGAAATCAACAAGGCTATTCAAGAAAGCAAAGTCAAAAGCTTAATTTTGGTAAATAATTTTGTAAAAGAATATTTTAAAAATGTGGGTTGCCAGAAGACTGCTCCCCTGACAACTACCCCCCCCCCCCCAAGCAGGTTCCTACGTCACATTGACGTCAGAGATTGGAGGGGGGGGGGGGCAGTTTTCCAGTCACAGACTCTTTAGTTTAGACAGAAGTTTAGTTGTCATACAGTTCTAAACTAACCTAACCTAACCAACCAAACTTGCTGTAACATTTCAAAATTCTGTATGATATTCCCCACATGCCTTTCTGTTATCAAACAGAATTATTCGAATTAAAATTACAATTGCATAGCATCACATTTTGCTAGGGGGGTAATATTACAGTCGCGGACACGGCTCCCATATTGGTTAGTTGGCATATTTCAAGACGTCCCGTTTCACCTGGGGGGGATCGTTTTCCGGGGTGTAGTATTCGGCATCCCCAAAAATGTTATTGGTAAATTTTAAACGTTGGTACCTAATTAGTTTAATTATAGGGGTTTTTTAATTTTTGATAACTATTACATCCAGCTAGTCCGGTCATTGTGTAGTCTGGCTAGTGGTTGGTCTAAGGTAACATTGAGCAAAACCCCCCGATATAACGCAGCGTAATGCTATACCATAACCCCCCCCCCCCCCCCATGTGTGTTTTGTAATATGTGTATGGCCCCTAAGTAGTATCTTTCATCACTAGGGCTTAAATTGACTCTTTCAACACAAGTTAAAGTTTTAGAGAAATGAGGAAGGGTACTTTGAAAAGAACTCAGAAACTTGTTTTGAACCAGTTAATACCTTTCATTGAGGAAGGGGACAGTACTAAGACAAAGCTCAATTGTTCATGAAGTAGGTCTTTGGTGAGTTATTTACTTTAAGAACAAAACATTGGCGTTTATTATTTCTAAAGTTTTTCAAATTTATTTACTCTCGTTACTCTCGTGTCTTGCTATCATCCCATTTAGGACGAAAAGTAAATAAGATGTTGGAAAGGTATTGGTTGTCTTTTGTATGTACTGAAACAAATTATTTTCATCCAAGGGCTTAAATAGAGAGTGGGTGCAAGGCTTGTAGTAAGTTAACCACTGTTAACTTTATAGACTATAAGAGTATGGCAAAATATGATTTGGTTAAAAGGAACCTAAATACCAAAGAATAATTAGTACCTGTTCCATTGCCTCTCCACTCCTTACAATGCTAACTCCACAGTTTCCTCTTTGGTATTTCAGTCCATCGTAGTTGGCTCCTGTTGGTGTAGTGATGACACATTTGGAAAAGGGAAGCTGATTTAAACTTTCCTCAATCACCAGGCGGATCTTAAAACATAAACAAATTTAACTATGGTGAGTTTATACTGTAGCCTTATCAGACAATTACTCAAATTGATAATAATTAGATTTTACTATTTTACTACACTAAATTCTCATTGTTGTATTTTGGAATTGGATGCATGATAGATGCATTGTTAGTTATCTTTAATGATTTACAGTAGCTACAGGTATTAAAGGAAACTAATTATTAAGTTCAATAAGAAACATATTGCTCGAGATAAACAACTAGGCCTAAACAAGATGGAAGAAATCATTACAATTCTTATAGCCTTAGGTAATAATAACACCTTGGATTGTTTGAAAAAAACATTAGTTACGCAGTTTTTACAAATTATAAAAATGTAAAGTGGAATGGTAAAATAGAAAATTGAAATAAGTTAATTTACTCATTAGTAAAGATTTTAAACATAGGCTAGTCCTTAAAATCATAAGGCCAGGCGCACACAGGCGACTTTGAGTCTATCAACAGTTGGTCGACCAAAGTGTTCAGCATTGCTTTATATTGGAGTGTGTACACCAAGGAAACAGTCGAGGTACAGAAGTCCAACTGTTGTTCCCGGACCCAATTTGCCAGAGACAGCTCCGCAACAATGGAAACAAGTCTAGACACGCACACATACGACTAGTGTAGCTCAGTCTCAGTCGGCTACTCGTAGGAACTGTTAATTTGCTTGTGTCACTCTCTTATTAATTGTTGTGTAAGTTTGTTTGGAAAAAGTACATATTTAAGTATGAATGTGCGTGTTGAGGACTTTAAACAATTAATGGTAAGAAGAAGTTACGGGAGAATACGCATCCTTGGCAGTTACAAAATATTGGAACAATCTAATCCTCATTTTTTTTGTGTTTGAAACTTCAATAGCCTAAAACAGAGTAAATACTATTGTAGTATCTTTGAAATCTATCCTGTGATGTCCGACTTGCATCTTTCACAGTTGCCTGTGTGCCAGTGGCGTACACAACACCCCGCAGGCGCCGAGGTCCAGAAGGCGCTTAGGACCGATTGTCACCACCCACCACAATCGTGAAAAGGTGATATTTCCATGGTCGCAGGAGGCCAAGATGATGTCTTCAAGACCAAAGAAGAAATTCATGATTTTGCCGCAATGGAGGAAAAAGATGAAAGTGGACGCGGGGAAAGGAACATGGATGTCTTCAAGAACGAAGAATATATTCATGATTATGACGCAATCTTGGGAGAATATGACGTCGTTTTTGTGGCCGCGGGAGACAAAGATGATGTATTCAAGACCCGTAGAATATATTCATGATATTGCTGCAATCACAAAAAAAGATTATGTTAGGCCTAATTGTTTCCATGGCCGTGGGAGACGAAGATAATGTCTTCAAGACCAAAGAATATATCATGATTTTTCCGTGATTAGGTACCGTAAGTTGTTTCTTAAACCACAGGTTACAATGCTACCTAATGTAAACAAGACCGCGGATGATAAAGTGTCTTGTTGAACAAAATGTGGCCACTATTACAGAAAACAACGACGAGTTTCAATGACCACAGGAGACGATGTTTACATAAATGCAGAAGATACTGTATTCAAGATTTGGCTGCGGTCACGGAAAACGATTACATGTTTCCATGACCAATGAATGCAATAAGATAAAAAACGTCTGCGGGAATTTTTGGATTTTGAGATGATCACGGCTTCAGCTGAGATAAATGAATAAAACATAAGTGCTGATGTTCTGGTAGGGGAGGGCCCCATCCACATGTACTACAGGGTGCCGCTCATTGTACTTACGCCACTGTTACACTCCTACCCAACTATTGCTAGACTTCAATGGCTAGGAGTGAGTTGCGAAACAATACCCTGCTATAAATTGGGCAACTGTTGCTAGACTCAAAGTCGCTGTGTGCCCCTGGCCTAAAGAAGAAGCTACCTAAATATTTTTACTTACTAGGCGATCCGCAAAGAACTTGAAATCACTTCTAGATGTATTCCTGAAACAGCATAACAAAACACAGCTTAGGTAAATAACATATTTAATAGCTTTGGCACATTTTTGGATGAAATTGTTTGGACAAGATCACATTTAGTTCTTCTTCTTAACTTAACTAAACTTCAGCAAGTAATGAAAATTATGTAAAGCTCAGAAATCTGGTGAGGTTTTGTACAATTCGATAATGCTCTGATAACAATAATATGCCTACCTATATGCTATATATGCTTAATAGGTTAGCCTATTAAGGGAAGTGCGAGAAAACTTTTAAGCACATTTCCAAAAAAGATCTCAAATAGATTAAGTAGGCTACCTGCAGGAGTATGATTTAAGGTTCCTTGGCGTATTTTTACATTTTTAAACAAGAATAGGCCTGCCCTTTACCAAACTCCTAGTTACAAAATGAGAATAGAGTTAAGTTGTCTTTGACCATTTTTACTTCTTCTACAGAACTCACCGATCTCTAAGAATTGTCTGCAGTTCTCTGACTTGATTGTTGCTTGGTAAAAGTTTTAAATTCGGTCCATACTCCTCAACAATTTCATTTTTTTGACTATTTAAAACAGAAATGCTTATGCATCCATTAGCATCACCCGAGGGTCCCATATGTTTTACAACAGTATCTGACTCATTTAAAACCATTATAAACGCAATTTAACATGAAATAAAATCACTTGACACTTGAAACTAATTCAAGCAAGTTAGGATCACAAAACAAACTTAACCTATGATGACAGCCTGAGCCTACGACTTGATTTGACTATTTGACTGTTTTTTGTGCGATGGTGAATGGTGATTGTGTGACAGACGACATTGATGGCAGACGACACTTTTGTCTATGACGACTCCAATAACCCCAATACAAGGCAAAGTACAAAAGAGATCTCACTGTTTTCACCACTAGCACTGATTATGAAATGAACATAAAATAAACTGAATATATAAATAAAATAACCATACCTTTAGATTGAGTTACAGTTTCATAATATCATCCCTTCATTACAGTACAAGATTGCCCAAGACACAGAATAAGTTATGCCATAGAAAAATTCATAGATAAAACATACTCCCCAAGTCCTACAATGAATGAATGAATGAATGAATGAATGAATGAATGAATGAATGAATGAAAATCCTTTATTTCAACAGGCAAAGTTAGGGCCACATGGCCCTTTCTTACACTTAACCTGCATACATAATTATAAATAGAAAATATAAAATACAATTTAACACATTATTTACACAAAAACAATACTTTTTTTTATAAAACGAAAACAAAATGCCTAACAACAACAAAAAAGTCTCACACACTCAGTCAGCAATTACGCAAGTGCCAAAACAGTCCTAGGACGCACCAGCCGAGGCCATACGCTCAAAATACATTTTTTTCAGTGCCGCCACGAACCGAGGACGACTATCAAGCATTTTGATGGATAAAGGTAAGTTGTTCCAAAGACGGCAGGCAGTTTTGTTACAATATGTTTTATCTATGATCATTGACTATATAATAAGTCAATGCTATGATAAAACGGGAATGTTGCTGAAAGTCAACAGTCCCGGAAGGTCAAATAATTTATACCTGTGCCGCTAGGTCAAAAACTACAATGTTTGCAGTGTCTGTAGATCAAAAGTCCCAGTAAGTCAAATAGTACAGTCCGAGCTAAAAACGTGGTCTATGTTAAAGCAATTGACTTATTGGGAATTTGACCTAATGCAACAGCAGTTTTAATATAACGAAATACGGTAAAATACAAGTTCAGTTTCGCTGAGTCAACAGTGCCGGAAGATCAAAAGCAATAAAAGTGAACGTCGATTCAGTGTAAAGTAGACCTCCTGCAACGCTTACTACACCAACAAAACTCGCTTTTAGTTACTTCGTGTTTTGTCATAATTAGAATAGAGCTAAAATTATCATATTTGGTACATAGCTTATCTATTAATGCTTCTTGCCAACTGTTTGGTCAACACTGTAAATAGGGATAGTTTATGTAATAAAAAGCCTTTCGTCAAAATTTGTGGCATGAAATACACGCAAGGACGATCTGAAAATTTCTGGTTATTATATACGTTTGTAAAAGAAGATCCATTTAATTTTAGAAATATTTTATGAGTTATTATGTAGTCTAAACATAAACTGTGTAAATGTATTACGCCTCGGAAGGTTTGAAACCTGTCCAAACTATCATATATATTATTAAAACTAAATGGGGGTTTTTCACATTCTGAATCAAACCAGTCGACGGACTTTCATTATTTTTGTGTTGAAAGAAAGATAATTTTGAGAACTAGGGAATGTCAAAGCCATAATTATAATTAAGGGTCCCAGTTTTTTAGAAATTAAGTTTTAATTTTTAAAAAGTCTAGCAGCCGACGCTAACCTTCTAAGCCAGCTTTTAGTACAATATAATTTGCTTAAAATAACAGCTGTAAACATTCAGCATTTGTGACACAAATTCAGCATTTGGAAACAAATTTAAAGACATATTTAGAGTTGACTTATTTATACTATGTGTAATGCTGACCATTGATGCATTCAATTCTTAGGTATGAGGATGGCAGATTAATTAAATTTGCATAGTAAAATAGTAGGATGTTCAAATTATTTTTTAAAGTAATCTTTGTAATCATCGATTTGTTTTAGTCCCATATAATTTGTTTTAACTAACAGCTGGTTGAATGTAATATTGTTCCATATAACTATTAGGTTTTTGGCGAATTTCCCATATAGGGAACAAGCTATTACCGTAGTACTTATGGTAACACCTGGACCCGGGACAGATTTAATTTTTCGTTTTGAGGTCCCAAGAGGCCAAAAACACCACCCGTTCTAATTCATATATACAAGGTGATCAACTCAAGGAGGCCCACCATTGGGAAATTGGAAACGGTAAGAATTAGAGAAACCTTTAATGGGGGACATTCCTTTATTTTTTATGGCAGTTAAAAATATGATTTTAGTTTTTTTATCATGTTATCGGATAGAATATGCAATTTAACAACTTTTTTAGCCTTGACACTTTTTCGATAAACCCACTCGCTTAGGAGTACAGCCTATGGAAAAATTACTTCCGGTGTACATTTTACATCATGTAGCTCCTAAACGAGTAAGTTTAGAGCAAAATTGCAAAAAGTAAATTAGTCATAGAATTGCATCTACATTCCATAAAGACTATAAAATAAACAGTTTTCCACTTTTCAAGTTTGCCGCCATTTTTTTAATAATATAATTCATATTTTTAATGAATTTTATGGTCTTTTTGGAATGTGGATGCAATTGTAAGACTTTTTACTCTTCACATTTTGCTATAAACTTACTTGTTTAGGAGCTACATGATGTAATATGTACACCGGAAGTCATTTTTCCATAGGCTGTAACTCCTAAACGAGTGGGTTTATCGAAAAAGTGTCAAGGATAAAAAAGTTTTAAAATTGCCTATTATGTCCGAAAATATAGGGTGTTCGATAATAAATTTCAAATTTGGCCACCATTTTGGAAAATGGCGGCTGAATTTCAAAATACCCCCGCCGCAGCAAACCTGCCGTCTAAGCGAATTTCCATTTGGCCGAATTGATTTTCAATTGATCTATTTAAATAACATTAGGTTTAACGAGTACCTAGGTTTGCTGCTACAAGGAAACTAATAAAGTAGTGTGTTTTTAGTAAAATATTGATAGATTACTATAAAATAAATAAATTTGCCAAGTTTGATCAAAATATATCCATAAACAAGCAAACTACAACATTTTACAATATTCTCCTTAAGAATAACATGGGAATTTTAAATTTACCATTTTTTTAGTTTTCTCCGTAACCAATAACCGTACAAAAACACTTTGATATACTGAATTGTTTGTTTTTTTAAGCTCTTTAAGAAGATTTAGAGAGAAATTGGGAAATTTTGTGTTTTGAGGGTAAAAAGTGAGAAAAACCAATTTTTACCCCATAAAACCCCCCATAAAACCCTGTTCCCATGGTACGATCATGCTGGATCGCGAACTCATTCAAGTTTATCCCGCCTTACACCTTCAAACCAAATTTCATCAAAATCGGATAAAAATTACTCAAGTTATCGTGTTCACGGACACATATATAAATCTATATATATATATATATATATATATATATATATATATATAAAAATTTGAACGAATGGTGTTTTTGGCCTCTGGGGACATTAAAATGAAAAAGTAAATCGGTCCCGGGCCTAAGTCTTACCATGAGACCTACGGTAATAGCTACTTCCCTGTAGGGAAATTCGCTAAAACTAAAAGCATTTTTTTAACTGCCACAAAAAGTAAAGGTATGTCTTCCATTTTAAGTTTTCTCTAATTCTTACCGTTTCCGATATCCCAATGGTGGCCTCCTTGAGTTGATCACCCTGTATAGCCTATATTTATTTATTTATATATTTTTCCCGGGGGGAACCCCAGGACCCCGCTCCTTTTTGGGGGGTATTCCATACCCCCCAGGCCCCCGGTGACCCCCCAAAATATATGTCTAGGACCGCCCTTGTCTTCTTTACCTATAAAACACATGGGATACAGCCTTTCTTCACTGATCACGTAATGCGTGATTTTCTATAAAGTCTTGGAAAAATAAAAGGTAAAATACATAGAATAAAGGTGTACTGTATGTGGTTTACACACAAATATTCATCAAACTGTGTGATATTTTGTTATTGCAATGAACAATTTGGGAGTATCGTATTGTTTAAGTCGATGGAAAATCTCTGTTGATTCTGTTTTACAAGCAAACCAAAAAGATACAGTAGTCACCACTTGCGACATATTCTAACCAGAAAATTGTAATTGTATGATTATATAAGCATTGGTAGGATTGCAAAGTACTACACAAACATTATTTCAAGGGTAATAACAGTCACAATTTCCGCCGACTTAAAGAGTCAACTAAAATATTATACTAATGGACACAACTAAATGGAACAACTAATGGAACAACTCACGATGTACATATAACAGTTCGATATAAGCATTGAGTATACACGTCAGTGGATACGTGTATACCCAATGATATAAGCAACGGTTCTTGCAATTTATTGCTTATTGTTTTTTAGAGTTGTTTTCGGACTTACTCACACTCGTATAAGGTTGTCCACGTTTGTCATTGATAATGTAGCCATGTTACATGGTTACACCCGTTGTCAAGAATATGTTTACAAGTTTTTCGTCTGTTTTTGAACAGCGATACATTTTTTCACATACTTAAGAACCACCTGATTTCGTGCATTACATGTTCGTCTCATTGTTTGGTAAAATGGATTAAATTATCCAGCAAACCCAAATTGAAATAGTAAATATAGTATTTCAAACAAATCAGTAACATGTTAATAATGTAACCTACATTATTTCCTTGAACTGCATAACAGCAATTAATTGGGCTGATCATAATATAAAAAAATCAATATGTTCTTCATAGGCATAACATGGGTTCATAACATGAGCCGCTGGGGCTGAGCCCAAGGGATTTAAAAATGTAAGGTTGGTTTGCTAATGTACGTGACACGCTCTTTCTTTGAGACATGAATGGTCAAAATCGCCTAAGAAATGCGGAGGAGTTCAACGGAAAAATTTCGTGTTGGCGTTATACAGTATAGTTGAAAAGTCCTGGATTTGCTATATTTTTTTAACAATATAGATAAAGTAGTGAGACTTGGTATATCAATAATAGCCATAAACATCTACTGTCTTGAGCTATTATCACTTTTTTATCCCTTAAGGGGGATGGACCACAAAGGCTAA